ATCTCTCCATCTCTCCATCTCTCCATCTCTCCATCTCTTCATCTCTCCATCTCTTCATCTCTCCATCTCTCCCCCTCCCCCCCTCCCCCTCTCCCGCGTGACACCCCCGACCCATCCTTCCATTGGTATGTGCTACCACTGACCATGCTCCTGGCGAATGTCCTGCTCGGATGTGGCGCCCTCTTGGCCGCGGTGTGGTCTGCCCGAACGTGGCCCTTCCCCTCCTGGCAGTTTGACAGCCAGCTCGCGGAGCTCCGGCGCCAGATCGAGACCCTGGAGACGTCGCTGCGGGCGGCCGAGCGCCAGGCCCTCGACTCGGACACGGAGCTTCGCACCACGCGCCAGGCTCTGAGCCAGTCGGAGACCGCCCTGGAGATGGCCAACGCCGAGCTGTCCAAATCCCAGCTGGAGGTGGCGCGCCTGGCCAGGCGGTGCGCCCGCCTCGAGGCGCGTGAGACCCCGGCCGGGCCGGCGCCCAGCAGCGCCGCCGGGTCGGCCTCCTCGACGCCGCTGGTGGCCGATTTGGCGGCCGCCCTGCGGGCGCCCTCCCCTCCCCAGGCCAAGGGATCTCCCGCCGGGGCGGCAGCGGGCACCGGCAGTGGCAGCGCCGCGGCCGGGTCCAGCCCCGGCGCCAGCCCCGGCCCCGGCAAGCCTCCTTCGGCACAGCCGTCGCCGACCTTGATCCCGGCGAATGTCCGCGAGCAGGCGACCCCGGAGGCGACGGCGGTGTCCCCCGCGCCGGGGGTAGTTGCCCCGGCGTCCGGCGCCGATGCCGGTGCGGGTGTCCCGGCGGCGGCGGCGGCGGCGGCGGCGGCGGCGGCTGCTGCTGCTGGTCCCGGCCCCAAGCGGCCGCCCAAGTCCATCCTCAAGCCTTCCAACACCAAGTCCACTCCTCGTCGGGATCTGCGCTTCAACCTGGCGGTGCTCATCCTCGATGGGGCCTTCTACGGGGACCTGGATCTGGTGAAGAAGTGCGTGGAGTCGGACTCGACACCGCCGCTGGGGGCGGCCGGTCCGCGCCGCACCGGCGCCCCTGCGACTGGCGTTCCGGCTCCCGGCTCGACGACCGGCTACCGGCCGGTGGACGACCATATCCCGGTGGTGGATCGGTCCAATGACGAAGGCTTGACGCCGCTCCACTGCGCGGCCTGCAATGGCTATGTCGACATCACCGAATACCTGCTGAGCAAGGGCGCTCGGCCGAACGTGGTGCGTGGCTGTTGGGGCTTCCTTCCTTGCTTCCCCCCCCCTTGTTCCCTCCCTCGGGTCGGTGTGGGTGGCCATCCTTCGCGTGGAGCGTGCGCCCGCGCGCGCGCGCGCGCGCCTGTGGTCCTTCAGCGTGGGCTGCTGCTCTGCCACCCTCCTGCCCTTGGCATGCGGTGTGTGCGTCTCCTTCTCGATGCTCCACTAACACCCTGTTTGTCATCTTTACCCCGGCCGTCTCTTCCATTTGGTCGGAATCCTCCATCTCTTTTTTTCTCTCCCTCTCCCCCCCCCCCCCGCCCCTTCTGCCGCGCAGTTTGATGTCGATGGCTGGACCCCGCTGCACGGCGCGGCGTCCTGTGGCAGCCTCGATGTTGCCCGGCAGCTGATTCTCTCCGGGGCCAGCCTGCTGGCGCGCAATGTCGAGGATGACACTCCGCTTACGCTGTCCTCCTGCCCGGATACGGCCAAGCTCATTGAGACCGAGCTCCACTCCTTCCTGACCGCCGAGGAGATCTTCGCCATCTTCGATCGGACTCCGGCCGAGTGTGAGAACCCGGATGAGCTGGCCTTCTCCATGGGGGAGAAGTTCGTGGTGGTTTCTCGCTCGGAGTCCTTCGACCCGGAGGACCCGACCTCGGTGTCCGGGGCCCCGGACACGCCCATGAGCCCGGACTCGCCGACCAGCGTCCTGGAGCAGTCGTCGTGGTGGTTTGTCCGCTCGGCGACCGATCCGACGCGCTCTGGCTGGGTTCCGAACAACTATTTCAGCGCATACCGCCCGGTGCAGGTGGACTGCTGAGGAGAGGCTGTCCCCTTTTCCCCTCCAGAGGGGGAGGGGGCGGCGGCGAGAGGAGGAGGTGTGTGCAGGGGCGATCATGGGGGGGGGGGGGGGGGGCGGGGGCCGTGCCTCCTTCCTCTCCCCTCTCCTGTTTGTAGGGGGCTGGGGCTGGGGCGCAGGTGCTTCTCCTCCCCCTGCTCATCTCCCCCTCGTGGCGATGTGTGCCTGGCTTCTTCCATGTCACCATTCCCCCCGTTCCCCCTCCACTCTGCTCCTCTCCCCCTCCCTTCTCCTTCTCCCTTCCCCCCTCCCTCTGCGTGGCTTGTACTTGGCTGTGCGCGCGCCGAGCGTGCACAGCCATGCCCCACCACAATACACCGCCCTGTCCTTGTTGAAAACGGAAGAGTTGTCCCTGTGCGCTCCCGCCTTCTCCTGGGCGTCTCGCGGGGGGGGGGGGGGGGGGTGGGGCCCTCCTTGGGAGGATGCGTACCGCCGGCACCGGGGAGGATCTTGGTCTGTGTGGTGCTCTTGCGCAGGCCTATACATCGGTGTGGATGGGCCCCTCTCTCCCGCCTCGGGTGCCTGAGAAAGAGAGGGTGGGCGAGCATGTCGGCAGGTCCGAGAGCCGGGGGGGGGGGCGCATGAAGAGCAAGGAAATAAATAGGCCCCGTGCGGCTGTAAAGCCACCCCTCCCATATAGTCTAGGTGGTTAGGATACGTGGCTCTCACCCACGAGACCCGGGTTCGAGTCCCGGTATGGGAATACCTTTTTTGGGCCGGGGCCCGCCCCCGTCTCTGGCCCGGCCTCCATTCTCACGCCCCCGGCCGGCAGGGGGCCGCGCCCTCTCCCCGCTGGCGGGGGGGAGCGTACCTCTCCTTTTCTTTCGAGCCCGGCCGGCCGGGGAATGTGCCGGTCATCAGGGGCGCTTGGCCCCGTCCGGCATGCGGTGTGCGTGCGTGGGCGCGCGCACGCCACCGGCAAAGACCCCGAGACAGGCGGCCTGCCCATTCTGGTCGATGACTGAGATCGTGAAAAGCGCGAGGGGGGCGGAGAAAAACAGACCCGGTTCAGGCCCGGACGCCGGCGCTCAAACGACGGGGACGGAAAAAAAGCGCCGGGAGCGTGTGCGCCCGCCCCCCCCCCCCCCC